ATGTGAAAATGTGCCAGACGATATTGCTTATATTTGTGTTTGCGTATTCAGTAATGAACAGTCTCTCCCTAAACGCCTCTCTGGATTTCAATTAATTCCGCTTTTCACAGTTTGAAAAGAGAGAAAAATAGAACAAGAACTCATGTATATTCAGAAAAAGACTGATACCCTGAACTACATGGGCATTTTGCCCATTTTGGAAGCAGCCATTAAAACGCTCTCCCATTATTGTTACAATTAACATCACACACTTATTATGTTACAATTCATTAGCCTAACAGTCAAGAGTTTAAAGACTGTCGGCATCTCAATTTCATTAGCATGACCATTTGTTTGTGACCTGTTTCCTTTCACTTTTTCAGCTGTAGTGTAAACGTGTAATGTGTATTATTGCAAAGCCAGATTTTGTTTGTGTGCCTACGTTCTCCTAATTTCACAACCACTTATGAATCACACTCAGAGGGGGAGGCAAATGAAAAAATGAAAGCGTGCTTCCTGTAATTACCTCCACTGCATTCCAGCATTCTCCTTTAATACCGACACACACAGTTTGTGTGTGCGTGTGTGTGTTTGCATTCTAAACAGACCTGGCTGAACAAGTAACTTCTGGACGTTCCTTAAGACACGTCAAGGCTAAAATGTAACATGAAAAATATTAAGCAAACCTAATAGTGCAATGCAGCATTGTGCATTCTGTTTGTACACATCCTTCTTAACCTTCAACGGTGTGTGATGGTGCACACCATGAAACATCCTGTCTTACATATCACTTATAATTTAGGAATAATTTAGGAATTATTTGGCATAGAGAGTTACTTTGTCACAAAGATCCTTGGCTTTACAAAGAAAAAAACATGATTGCAAATCCACTCAAAGCTTCACAGTTTAGCAATAAAAAATAATTTTGTTAGGATGATAAACAGCAATCCATGAAGCTTTCCTGATTTTTTGTTTATCCGTGGTTTGATTTTCAAGATGGAAGCTAGTTGTACTATTAAAATCAGACCCACTGCTTTCAAACAAGACCCTTTGACCGATCATACGTTTTTCTTATTCAGTCCCAGGTTTTTGTGTGTGCCTCAACCTACCTGTGCTGAAAGAAAAATATATATCTATCTAACACATCTATTCAAAATGGTGGCATTTGTATTGACTATTAAACCTAGGTTTCAAAACCAGGAAAAAATAAACCTCTAAAAGCAGTCAGACTGTACTGTACTGTATGACCAAGTACTTTGAAAACATAACAGGCAAGGTCACTCATGAAAGTCATGTAATTCAGCAGAGCAGAAATAAAACAAGAGAGCAGCTCACCAAGAATTCAATCAATTAGACACCTCTAATCACCATTTCAGAGTTCAACCATAGGAGGCTGGAGAAGGCTTAGCTCCATTCATTGAATTCACTTCATATAGTTCTTCCCTGTTTGCTCATGCAGAAAAAGAAAATGTGGATTTTTAATTTTTTTTGGGCTGGATTTTTACTGCCCTGACTCGCAAATGTAATTGAGCTCTCTGGCGTGAAATCATGAAATATTTACTACGCATAAATGCAAAAACAAAGGTGCTGGAAGGCCATATAAAATGGTGCCAAACTCTCAATTGTCCCATCAAGTAAAAAATAAATGTCAAGCACAAATTATATATGCAATAAAACAATAATTGGTTAGCTTCATCAGTAGCTCCTGTGTTTGAATCTGTGATTTACACCATGCCTGTCTTAGAGCCCAAAAATTACTGATCTGTTTTTTGAGTTAAACTGCAGTTAGTTCAGTGCTGAGCCCTGAGTCCCAAATGTATGAAAGGCAAATTTGTTATTTAGACAGCTCAAACAGTAAATAAGAAATAAAAAAAAGTTACCTTGGTTTAAACCAAACCTCATTTGGAGATGGCTTGCTGTAAAAGCTTAAACAGTTATTATGAAAGAGTATTTGCACTGTATTGCTACAACAAACTGTATTTATCTCATTTTTATACCAAAGCTCTGTTGAATTCTTCAGACTGATTGGTTAGAAGGTGTTGACTAATTTTCTATAACAGCAGCTCTGACAGTCCTGCCAGCTGTAATTCAAATCACAGGTTTATATTAATGTGCTTTTTCTAATACGTTATCATTTCTATAGTAACAGCTCATTCATAGAGGCTTATATGGTGGACAGTCCACATCAAGCTTAAAAATAAACTTATTAAAATGTGTAATTGTAGATATGGTGAAAAAATTAGCATTTTTTTGGAAGGAGTCTCCAGTGTTAGCACATCCTATGCCCTTATTGTGATGTATTTTTTGTTCTCATTCAGTCTTGTATTCCAGCTCCTGTCTGTACATTGGATTGCTTCCCAATTGTTTCTAGGACCCCGTTCACATCTGGCATTAACGCGTCTCCAGTGACCACTTGTGATCCGATTTCATACATCGTTTTACTGGAGAAAGCCTGCAATGAACATTTAACACGTCAGTCTTCAGCTCCATTTATTTTCAGGCAGAAATGTATCGTGAATCATATTTAATGCATTTTTATGGACTGTTTAAAAATTTTTAATTGCATGGTCTGCTAACAAAACCTATAAATGAATGAGAGGTGAGACGATGAAAGAAGCTATGAAAAGCAGCTGCTTTTGTCTCTGTTGTTATAGCATCATCTTTATCCATTAGCCTAGTGGCAGAGAGCTCTACATTTCAGCATGATTTCCAAACAGTCTTGCAATGATTGTGCATAAGACATCCTATACAATTGTGTGCTTTGTGGCAACAGTTTGGAGAAGAACCACATATGGGTGTGATGGTCAGGTGTCCATATACTTTTGGCCGTATAGCGTAAGTGTAAAAGTAATTATCTATATAAGGCAGGGCAGTGGATACATACAGTATATTATCAGAGGTATCATGATTGGTAATATGGGTTCTGTGAAGGATTTTCTATCCAAATAATTCAAACCTTTGAATTGAGTGTCATATGGGAAATGTTGTTGCATATGTTTTTGCCAATTCATGTTTTGCCAATCAATTTGGAGATGATATCTCCAAAATAAAGATTCCAGATTACATTGGAAGTAACATTATTTGAGGACTATGACTGTGAAAATGTTGACCAATGTTTTCATCATGGCTCCTTTCAGCTTTTTGTACTGAAACTGTATTTACTGTCTGGTATGGTTACTGCATTGTCTCAGACCGCAAGACCCAACAGCAGATTCCGAGAACAGCTGAGAAGATCATCGAGGTCGTTTTATCCACCATTGACACCTCCTACAACAAACACTGCATCTGCAAGGCCACCAGCACTGTGGATAACCCCTCCCACCACTTTCAAACTCTCTTTACCCTCCTGACATCTGGTAGAAGGTGTACATCCATACCACCACTACCAGACTCTGAAACAGCTCCCTGAGGCATTATGACTACTCAACACACTGCTGCACCCCAACACCCACCTGGATTAATCGAAACCTTTCCCAGCACCCACTATTGTTCTACCATCACTGCACATCCTGTATGCACTTTATAATGCTAGTATAGGACATGTTCTTTCGTTGTTATGAGATGCATTTTACTTGCTGCTATTTTTATTTGATCTTGCTGCTACACTTCCCACTGTTCAACACTGTTCTGTTGTGCTGTATAGTTAGCTTGCACTGCCCTGTGTCTTTTTTGTCTTGTGTATTTATTAAACATTGTTACAATTGTCTCAAACTGTCATGTATTTGCACTTTATGTGGTCCTGTGTACCGTGCTGCTGTATTGTTATGTGTTGTACCTGGTGCATGGTCCTGAACAAAACATCATTTTATTCCAATGTACTGTATAGGACAGAGGTGTAATTCATTGCAACTATCTGTACCTGTATGTGTATTTGTTTAGTGCTCCAAATATTCATATCTATTTTTGGATTTAAACTGGAAGTGATTCTTTTTTGGAAACCCCAGCAGACAAACAGTAGGCTGCCCTGTGCGGAAGCCTGTGGCCTGCGTGGGCTATATGGAGCAACGGGTCTGTAAATAAATCAGAAATGTCTGAACACCACTGTTAAACTGTTTCCCATGAAAAGACTGAGAAAAAAAGAAGAAAAATGCATTTCCCTTGTCCACTACCTAAACGTTTTGGGCTAGGTTTAAGTCTTTGTGTGGTTTCTGAGATGCAGTTGGGGTGGAAGTTTTGCTGGAACCTGGTAACCCTGCCCATGAGCTTTATCCTCAGCACCTTTAAAGCTCACACTCGTGCAACTTTTTTGTTTCGTCATGCAGGATCCCAGTCCTAGGTGCACACACCTAGTCTCAACATGACGCACGTCATGCACCTACTATTCATATCTGTATCAGATCTGAATATTCCAGTTCATATTCAGTTGCATGTTATATAGAGGAATGACATTAAAACCCACTTGAACACAGTGATGCTGTATTTTTCCTGAATGATGTTGAAGATCATGAGCAAGCCGTAACTGAATAATCACCACACTCTGGTTATTCCTTTCTTACTTGATGTTGTGAACTTGAAGAGCTTACTGTTGAATAAAAACAATAGATTATTCCATAAAAGCCTCAAAACAGATGGAGAAAAACTGTGATGGAGAATTTCATTTGGTTTCTGCCAAGCAATTAGGTGGAACTAATAGTGTTATTTTCTAACAGTTTTATGCTTTTGTGTAGACAGGAATGCTTCTGATGTCCAATTGTTTAAATAAAATACAATGGTGAGCTTGTGAGGTACAGACGATAGGTGTAATAGAAAATGGTAGAAGTAAAATGTGAATAGTTTCGTTTTTTAGCAGATGGACATATTGAATTTGTATGACGAAGAATCATGAAATGTAGATTCCAAGCTATTTAATAAGCTGTGTTTTTTTCCCTCTCTCAGCTGCTCCCGTTCGGGGTCGCACAGTGGATCACCAGTCCGTATATTGATTCTGGCACAAGTTTTATGCCGGATGCCCTTCCTGACACAACCCCCCATTTCTGGGCTTGGAACCAGCACTGAGAGTGCGCACCAGTGGCTGGGGTTGGTTCCCTGACCGGGAATTGAACCCCGACAGCGGCGATGAGAGCACCACATGCTAGCCACTTGTCTAGAAAGGAACCATTTAATAGGCTGTGTTATATGTTTAAAAAGGTAAATCTCCAACCCCACAATCTTAGGTACTTTAATTTGGTGTATTATTCTGCATATCGTTAATTAATGTTTATTTTGAGAAAGTCTTGAATAATTGAATTAGAAGGCATCTAAGAAGTCAATGTGACCAAATGCTTTACCTCATATTGTACGTTGTTCTCTTGATGTTTCTACTTGCCTTGCAAGTACAGAGTGCCCATTCATATTCAATAAAGAATGACCATTCTTTTTGAGGTAAGAAACTCTTCATCTGTTCAAGTGGTCTGTTCAATACCTGGGATTGTTGGGTTATTGTTAATTTAAGATACTGATATTGATACCGATTGGGTTTGCTCTGAGAGAGTGACATTATGGATTACTCGGTCAATTATTCTGTATAATAAAAAATACTGGAGTAAAAGGGGATTGGCATGGAAGGACCAGAGAGAAGGTTGAATTGATATATTTGATGTCTTATTGTCCTAAGGTAGGCTGCATAAAGAAGCATATGAGATGTTGTATACTGTATTTCCCTACCCATATTCCAAGTCTGTTTTGCTGGATATTCATGTCAATTTTTCAGAATCTGGCTTCTGATCTATCCAGTCATCACATTTCTCTCAACTTGAAATAATAAAAAAAGGTTTCTCAAAAATGACTTCCTAATGACCTAATTTGGTCATTTGCCAGTTTTCATCCACCAGGCAGCTTTCAGACAACAGTCACCAAATGAGGTCTAGCACGTGCTGCCCTGAGACACATGACATCAGCTGCCACATATTTTCAAACTCCTGCTCATGCAGCATCACAGGGCAGCATAACAAACACAGAGGAAATCTGCCTTCTTACATGTACATGAACTTACAGATGCCCATGATTTACTAGTGTCACTCTGATTGACAGGGGAAAGAGAGTATGTCACCCCTCCCACCCAGTGAGCACAGTCAATAATTTGCTCTCTTGCCTCCCAGCGATGGATGGCTGTAACATTATTTGGATTCAAACTCCAGATCTCCCAATGATAGGGCAAACTCTTGTCTCTATATTCTTTGATTTAGAGTTCATTTTGAGCATGCTTCATCTTCTTTATCCAGGCGTTAAGCAACTCTTTTCATAAAGTAGCATGGGACAAATTGTGCATCATTGAATACATGTTAAATACAAAACTAAGCAAACCAAACTGTGTATGAAAGTCCTTCGTTTACGTAACAACAGGATGATGGTCCCTTACTAATATACTGTATGTCCAGAGTGTCTTGATGTTTTGTAAATGAAAAACTGTTTATATCTTGACATGAACACATAATTAAGGAGTGTATACATGAGTCTGTTTGTGAGTAATAACTACTAGACAGTCCTAGCAGGGGGCAGAATACATGTGGGAAATCAAATCTGTCAGAATACTGGTAAGTGAAAATACCTCTTCCATGCATCTTCTAAACCTCTTCTTTCTCAGCAGTCTGAATATAACACAAATTTGTGCTATGCATCTCTTCATTAGCATTGAGTTTCCAATCTTTAATGAGAAATAAAATAAAAAATAAAAATGGTTAGGTAATAAAGCCACAGTTTGGATCTTTACAATGTTATTGTTAATGTATATTCCAACATAGATCCTATTAAAAAAAAGCTGTCTTAGGTCTGATTAGGATAGTAAATTCATCTGTCCATAACCACAGGTGGGAACCGCTTGTTTCCTTTCAGTCTTTTTAAAAGCCTTGTGATATATTTATTCCAATTGAAATTCTCAGATACTGGATCTGGGTCTTACAGTGCATAAAATATTTGTAATGTGTAGGCATGTTTTTCTTTTTTAATATGGTGGACACTGGCAAAGGTAATGCTGTTTAAAATCTTTTCAGGGATATTAAGTTTGTCCCTGTATTTCTATTGTTTTATTATTTTGATTTCTGTTCTATTTCACCCCTAACCACTAGGACTAAGTAGAATCGCCTGGACATTTTCTTGTGCGCATGCATATGCATGCAGAGACCTCCCAACAAACTCACAAAGCATTGGATGATGCAGTATTTGCAATATATACTGCTGTCATACAGCCATTGTGTCCTTCTTCTCATCACATACACATTTCAGACCACTTATACACCATATTTAGCTATTTGTATAACATCTTGTTTCCTCAGCACTATGTCCTCTATTTGCATCCCCCACTGCCTAGCTGACCAGCAGACCTGTGCATACATATGTGCTGCTAGTGTGGTTGAGAGGGTCTCCCTTGCCATAGTATGACCCTGCTAATTCAGCTGGACTCTGCTAATGAGCATACAGGCCCCTGAGTTGGATTCACTCCATTCAAACCTCATCTCTCCATTGAGTCAAGTCCTCTCTTGGCATCATCAGCTCAGAGTATTCTCCACACTCTCATGATGCTGCTAGATCAGCCAAATTGTCATCAGTCCACATCTTCCTCAACCTTTCAGCAGCATTTGACACAGTCAACCACAAGACTCTCTTGTCCACCCTCATGAGTCTTGGAATTTGTGGTGCACCATGGCAGTGGTTTGCTTCCTACATGGAAGGTCGGTCATATCAGGTGATGTGGAGGGTATCCAAATCTGCTCCACGCTGACTCTACACTTGTGTCCCACAAGGCTCAGTACTTGGTCCTCTTCTGTTCTCCCTTTATACTCGATCTCTTGGTGAGGTCATATCCTCACATGGGTTTTCATACCACTGCTATGCGGATGACACTCAATTCATCCTCTCCTTCCCTCCCTCAGACACACATGTTTCCGCTCAGATCTCAGCATGTCTGGCAGACATCTCATCAGCTCAAACTTAATCCCAGCAAAATTGAACTGCTGTTCATCCCAGGTGAGTCATCCTCATGTCAGGATCTTATGATCTGTTCTTGCGAAATCTCTGATCTCACCTTGCAACTGCATGCAACCTTGGGATAACCATGGATAATCAACTGTCCTTTTCCTCTCACATTGCTAATCTGACATGCTCATGTTGATTTCTCCTTTACAACATCAGAAGGATTCGTCCATTTCTATCCACACAGGCCACTCAGGTGCTTGTTCAGTTTCTTGTCATTTCGAGACCGAACTACTGCAACTCGGTCCTGGCAGAGCTGCGTCTGAATGTCATTTGACCTCTGCAACTGATCCAGAATGCAGGCGCGTGACTTGTTTTCAACCTTCCTAAGTTCCCCTACACCATCCCACTGGCTCCACATGCTTCCTGTAGCTGCCTGCATCACATTTAAAACCCTGATGCTTGCCTACAAAGCCAAAAACAGACCAGCACCCACTTACCTCAAAGCACTTATCACACCTCGCACTCCACCACGCTCCCTCTGATCTTCTAGCACTGCTTGACTTGTCCCAACATCTCTCAGGGTACAAGGCATGCATCAAGACTCTTCTCTGTGCTGGCACCTAGGTGAACTTCCCCTAGATGTCCAAACAGCTGAGTCACTGGCAGGCTTCAAATGATGTCTAAAGACATATCTCTTCTTGAAGTACTTAAATTAGCACTTTTAAAAAAAAAATTGTGTTGTCTGTATGCTTCTCTTACTATATTACATCCTCAACAGAGTTTTTAGACTGATGGTATTCTTAGTCCATGACCTAGTGAACCCATATCAGGATGTATTTATTGGTAGAGACTGAAAATGCAATGTAAATGATGCCTACTTCTGACAGGTCACAGCAGTATGGATGGAATATCTCTTGGGGATTTTATTAAGATGTTTCTGAAAATGGTGCCACCATCCTCCATGATTCATCAAGAGTCTGTTATGAGTTCTCCACCTTGTGCTGGAGTCCCTTAAGACCTCTCTTTCTGAGCCTATACAAGAATTGAAATGGGTATGTAGAAAAGCTGCATTTATGCTAGTGAACAGCAAAAAAGAGTGGGAAAATATTATTGAAACGATCTCAGCAGTATGTTACTCAGAGAACACAGCAGACCCTGTGTAATGTAAGTATCCTTATTGGTGCTTGTGTCCTTGGCACAATAGATAAAAAAAGTAATGTCAAACTTTTCAAAACAAATCATATTGCAGCTTTCCAGCTGCTCAGCTTTTGCTCAGGGAGAGAAAAAGAGGGAGAGTGAGAGCACATACATACAGTATATGTAAGACAACATGGCTCAGGTATGCCATGTTAGTCATTACACGCTTTACTGATAAGCTTCCCATACATTCATTGGTGGCCACATGAATCTGGAGTGACCTTGTGGTTAAACCTGGAGTTGCCACCCAAGATCATATTATTCAATTTTGAAAACCAATCGATTGACCACCATGAAGGTGGACCTGCAGAGCGTTTTCATTTGTACTCAATGCACAACAACTATTTATCTGTCACAAAGGAAAGGAAAGGCACAAGGGCCTCCCTTGTCTAAGCAAAATCTGGCCATGTCCTGCAAGTGAGTGAGTGACTGAGTGCTCTACAGAGTTTAAGCTGCTGCTACTTGGATGTCACCATGTATCTTTTTCAGAGCATTCTTTGCTCTCTGCACCCTATTGGGCTTCCTTGTCTAAACAGAGTCTGCCCCACTGGGTGTTAGATGTCATCTGCCAATAAGCAGACTGGAAGCTCGGTAACATGCCACTCTACGAGGGGTGTCTTCTCATTATGGCCATTACTTAGAAGCATGCCACTCCAGGATGTTTGTGCTGCCGCTACCTGGCCATCACTTGCTGCAGGACATTCTCTGTTCTGTCCAATGTGCCTCCTATATTCCTAATTAGTCCAAACAACAGTCAGGCGATCCTCAGAACAGCTGTTCATCTGTCACAGAAGAAAGACATGAGATGCTCTTGTGTCTAAGCAGAATCTGGTCCAGTGGTTGGTGGATGTCTTCACCATGGCCCCTATCATAACATGCCACTCTACAAGGAGTGTTCCCCCCTCATGGTCATTATTAATACACCAATTAATACAAATTTCCAGTTGCAACAACAGTATATCCAGGTTGGATTAGTAAGTGAGAACAATCCAAGAAAGACAGTTGT